GCCACCATTCTACGCCTCCTCGTATTCCTATATATTTTTCAACATCTCACCTAACAATTCTGCGAATCTCCACCTTCTTGAGGTATAGCAGAACTGTTCAGTGCCTCTCAGTGTTTCTCGGTACAACTTCGCACATCTGAAGCATAGTTGTATATTCGTTAGACATCATACACAAACACTACCACAAGACTTCCATTTCTAGTGGACCAGCTAAGTTCCCCAACCTCCAGAAAACGTACTTGATCTCTAATTGCACCTATTCCTATAATAAAAAATTGCGTTCACCAATTTTCTCACTCATAACCACTTATCATCTAACCTAACAGCAATATCAGACACATATTGGCTGATAGAAACAAACATCTTGCAACACAGCTCTTGATCCGATATCCGTTGAAAAAGAATGGGTATTTCATCTGGCAGCAAATTACCGAATCCAGATTCCTTGATCCCATAAACTTTAACTAAACTGTCAACGAAGTATCCATGACTCTTAAGCACTTCCGGATTTTAAAATGATAGCCTCCTAGAGCGTTCCTGTAATCCGATCCATTACTCTTAATAACCACCAATATCTACCGCATCTTTCCTCACTCTCTTCCTTCGCCTGTCAACCTATCCCATCACTTTCAGAGATCGCACTAATACATTCGGTCCAATAATCGCGTAACAACCAGAAGACGGCTGACACCGGTGGTCCCCGACGAACAAATATCCCGTCATCAACAATGTACCAACGCTTCCAATAATATCGTACACAATGCGCTGGCAACTACAGGATCACGCACCTAAAAGACGATCCTTGCCGAAATACTTTGCTATCCAAGCATACTTTTGCATAGTAGTCTTTCAGGACCCAAAGATAGATCATAGAGTGTCACGTCATTAACCAAGAGTACGCTGCTACAGTAGCACTTGATAATCAGAAGACATCCCCAGCTCGTACAACTTGAGAACCGAAGAGTATCCCCTAGTAGTAGGATTTGAGGGCCCCATGGTACGCCCCAATAGTAGAACTTGAAGAACCCACGGTATGCCCCGATAGTAGGACTTGAGGACCAAAGGGTACTCCCAATATTAGGAATTGAGGACCGAAGAGTACTTCCTAATAGTAGGATCAGAGGACCCAAGGATAACCCCAATAGTAGGACCTGAGAACGTAGATTACTGGCTTCATGATGGTAGACATTCACTTTACTGTTCCCAGAGAGTTACCCGAGAACGGTAACTTCGTACCCCTAGCTGTAAGACTATGACAAACTACCGTAAAAATATGAATCAAATCATCGATTATGAAAATTCAATTTTCATTCATCTCTATGATGTAGATAATAGCTGGAGCAGTTCTTTGGATGCATGGACATCATGAAACAGATCTTAACTTTACCTAAATTCCGGTTCAGAATACAATATTTCTGAAGATAGCTCACTTTTAGCATTGTTGCAGATCCTCAAACTTTGAATCAATTACTCTACTATTTGAGATTGATTGTTATGAAGCCCGCAACTATTTTGCTTTTCGATGACATCCGATTCTTCTTACTAGCTCACTAAAAATGACTGCAATGAAAACTGACCCCGAACTCGAGGCCGAACCCAAACCCGAACTCTGAAGCCGAATCCGAACCCGAACCCTGAAACCGAACCCGAACCCGAACCCGAACCCGAACCCGAACCCGAACCCGAACGTTCGGGTTCGGTGCATACCTATTACCATCACTTTATTACTCACTACTTTTATCACTTTTATTACTTTTTTCAGTGTTTTCACTTTACTACGGATCATAAAACATACGAATCATGATTTACAACTAAGCAATGAATAACGAAGTCACTAAGAGATAAAAAAAGCTGAGAGTGTGATAAACTGTTAACAAAGGTAATAAAGTAATGGTAATGCAGCACTTCTAGTCGGAATTTCGATAGATTTCTAGTGGTCGAAATGTGCTCGAGAAACTACCAATTTTCTTTCAATATGTTATTGCTCCCAGAGTACTTGAAATTTCGATGAGTGCCGAGCTTTCGAAATGTGCCGGAGGAGTCGAAACCATTCGTTTGATAGTGCATAGTTTCTGAGTACTCGATATGCAATGGCTCCCGTTGAGGTCGAAACTCGAATCCAACGAGAATAAAATATATATTTCAAGTTTCGACCACTCATCGTATTCAACATTGGCTTTTCAAGGTTTACTTGGGTTTTGTGAAGTTCACCATATCATTTAAAATTATACAATACTCAAATTCATCATATTGTTGGGAAAGATGGATGTTCACATTCCATTTTTTCCATTGACAATTAGAAGTCAAAATATAAAAGTATTTACTTTTACAGAATCGATGTCGGTGTTACACGGAGTGCTGATTCAGTGTATTAAGTGTGACTCATACTTAGAACCAGATCGGAAAACCGGCACCGGATCGGCCGGTTTGCCGGTTACCCGTCCGGTCCGGTTGAATTTTTCGAACCGGCCGGTTTCAGCCGGTTTTTTTATCAAATTTTTGGACATGAAAGTCAGCATATTTTCCCCATTTTTATCGATTTTCATGGTTTTATCAGTCAAGAAATATGAATTCGAGAGTCTCCAATTAACGAATTTCTAGTCATCATCAAAACCTTAGGTTTCAATACTGAGTTTGCGCTTTCTCATCATACAATGATGACCTCAGACCATACCAAATGAGTTTATTATGATCAGAGAAAAGCAACCGATCATTAATAGTGAAACAAGACTTGGACTGGAAGATTTGGTTTGGAAACTTTGATCTCACTTCTTCACACTTCATGTAGTGCACAGTCAGAAACTCTCAATAACAAATAGTTTTCAGTTCATGCTTTTGCTAGGAAAATATGAGGAAACATTGCATTCTTTTGTGAAAGATATACTAACTACTAGTTTCACAGAACTGTGCAAATACCTAGGTGTTAAAAGACCTGAAAATATAGTGTCTAGCATAAAAAACCAGGTTTCGAACCTCACTTTTCGTATTTATCGATAACGCTACTCATACACAAATTCCGAAGCATTTCAGTTGTGCCAATTGAGGATTTAGAATAAGGCAGCATCAAAGTTGTCAGTTCACGAAAAGGCATAATATCTTTATCAAAGACGGTCGGTCAAATTATAGCATAGGTTTCATTTAATATAAACTTATGAGTGTCTTGATAAAAAGTTTTGAAAGAGTTCTGCTTTCGATCCTACTATTAGTGTATACGGAACATAATAAACTAAAAAAAAGGTGGTTACTATCAAAATTTCCAAGAGTTATATGAATTTATACCGATTTTTTTCGTGAAACTGAGGTAATAAACGCGTTGTCGGGAGAACGAGTTGATTAGCTAATTTCTTAAATAGACTGATTTTTCGACGGTTAAATTCGGTGACCAAACTGACCGGCTTTTTACCGGTTTTTGCCGGTTAAATGAAGAAATTCAACCGATCAGTTACTGGCCGATTCGGTCCGGTTCAAGAAGCTAAACGGGCCGGGCAGGCCGATCGAAAAAAACCTGACCGGTTCCAAGTCTGGTGTGACTGAGATTGTCGATGCACCGAGCAGAGCTGGGCAAGTCAAGTCAAAATGTCTCAAGTCCAAGTCAAGTCAGACTTGACTTGACTTGGGAAAATTTTTTAATACCCTAACTTGACTTGGCTTGGCTGGGGAAAATTTTTTTAATATTCCTGACTTGACTTGACTTGACTCAGCTTGACTTGAAAAAAATTTTCAATACGTCTGACTTGACTTGACTTGACTTGGTTGACTTCAATTGAAAAGTTTATTTTGACTTTCTGACCCTTTTTCTTTTCCGTCTGTTCTGAATATTGTATCTCGACGACATCAGTGATTGATGTCGTCGAGATGCAATATTCAGAACAGACAGAAAAGAAAAAGAGAGAAAAAAAATTGTTTTTTATATATTATCTGTAAATTTGCTACATATCACTTCATTGTTGAAAGTGACCTTTTGAACAAGTTAAAGTTTTAGCTTTGTTTATATACAACAACATTGGTATCCAGCTGGAATGGTGTGACTTAATTTGGAATTGTTTAATACCTTGGCTTGACTTGAAAAATTTTTCAATACGTCTGACTTGACTTGACTTGAGCACATTTTTATTGACTTGACTTGACTTGTGACTTGAAAAACACTTGACTTGCCCAGCTCTGGCACCGAGGGTGTTAGTGCTTCAATGCGCATTGCACTGAGATCATCGGTGTTCATTGAGCGTCAGTGTCAGTATTTCAATGTTTTCACGGAAACTGCACATTCCTCTGTACGCTGGTACTCAATGGGTTAAAATCAAATGAATCTTCAAATATCTAATATTCGCCTTGTTTATTCTCTCACATTGTAATCAAAATACATTAAGATAAAGACAAACCTTATGGGACAGGAATAGAAGAATGATATTGGCACTATAATACCGTATAGAAAGTTCGAAGAAATTTTCTGTTATATGTAGATACTAACCAGTATAAAGCTCAGATCGATCCAAAAGTGAACAGAAAGATGATGAATATCTTTGTGAAACGACATTCAAACCAAAAATAGATTTTTGGATGATGAAACTAACCCATTGCCAAGACGATGAACGCATTTAGACGCTTTATATTTTTCAGAATAGTAGTCGATTGTTTTCTAAATTGAGTTTATGGAAGTAGTTATTATTGTTATAAAAAGAAAATGGAAAAAGATCATTAGTATTCATCAAAAAATGTTCACATCGATACCTTAACACTGAATGAATCATCAGCGTTTGTGAAATCGATCAAACAAATAACCAACGTTTGTCCTTTTTTCTCGCATTCTGTACGACAAGGAAGTTGCCAAATAATATAAGTGTGCCCGTCTTGTGCAAATTTTCATTCTGTGTAACTATTATAGTGAGGGCAAACAATGATTCATGTCTATCGAATACTCTCATATCTTTTTTAAACAGCGAGATAAAAGAACAACCTTGCCATTTGATAGTTTGCAGTTTTTGAAACACAAAACTTTGCCCATGGCGCGATCTCGTCAACGACAAACCAATGCATTTTATGATGCATGTCAACAAGGTGATTTGGAATGTGCACGAAAACTACTACCAACAATGACATATGAAGAAATAAATCGAGGAGGATCTAATGGTAACACTCCTCTGCATTTGGCTTGCATTGGTAACCATAAGAATATTGTGTCTTTGTTACTACAAGACGAGCGAGATTTGTGTTCGCGATGGAAACTAAATAAGAAAGGATTGACAGCTTATGAGAGTGGTCAGTTAAATGAGATTCGCAAACTATTTAGTCGTCCATCGACATCAATAGCTCGCCGTTTCTACGATGAGAATCCGATGATATCCTTACAACCGAAATCCTTTGATACGATCGTGAATACTGATACATTGTCAACTTCTATTCCCGATAATTGGTCACGTGGTCATACGAATGCAACTGACGCAGTCGACGGTATATTTATGTGTTCTCTATCGAAAGCTCCATTTCTATTGAAGAAACTACTTGAAATGCGTACAAAGCGTGAAGCTCAAGAAAATTTCGAAAAGCTTATTCAAACATATTTGACGGATCCAAAGATTAAACCGGATAAACGTGAGAAAGTTATGCGACCATACGACGAGTACAAGCGTACGAATAGAGTTGAATTATTGTTGACTATATATACTATGGATACACCCATTTATAGTATACTCAAAAACGAAGCTAATGCGTTTACAACTCTTGTTTTTCTTCATATTGATCAATTAGCTAGTAAAGCGTATACTGGAATAACTTATCGAGGTGTTGCCATGACTCAAGATGAGATTGATGCTTACAGATGGGCTCAGACTTCTCCGAACTATGTTTTGGAAACACGCACATTTCAATCGACTTCGAAATCAAAAGCTATGGCTAAATTTTTTGCTTCGGCTGCATCTACAATGGACACATGTGCCGTCGTGTTCACCTTTATATTTAAAGAAAAATGTATTACCGCTATTGATCTTGATCAAATAGCACATTTTTCTGAAGAAGAAGAAGTCTTACTGTTTCCATTCACATTATTCAAAGTTGAACAGATCGCTTTGGATTCTATAGATGGCAACTATGAAATCGTCTTAACTTGTGTGAATTGTCCTGAAAAATCTTTTCTTCAGGCATGGCGCCATTTGCGCAATAAATAAAATATTTAATCCTGACATCGACATCCGACATTCCAATTTTCATGTTACTTATAGAACGATTGTTTTCTTCGCTTCTTTAAAGATCTTATTCATTTTATTCAAACCTAAACAATAAGATAGGACAACTATTAAGTTTTCTTGAGTGACAAAGATCGGTCTAGAAACACTCAATTATACACATATGCTTTATTGTTTAAAAAAAATCTTCAAAATCCACTATCTACTTCACCCTACAATATCGCTTCTTTTTTTGCTAATAATGCATAATAAAATATATTCTTTTTTTATATGAAAAGGGTGGGTGTGGGTGTGGGTGTGGGTGTGGGTGTGGGTGGGTGTGTGGGGTGTGGGTGTGGG